TTTATACATTTCTAACTCCGAACAGTTTGTTAATTTTCGTGATTTTTACGAATTTTGTCAAAATTAAAAATTCAAACTCGCATACAAATGTATTGTGGATTTACGCTCAATTTGATTTTTTATTTCCACAAACAGCAACTTAAGAGAATCCTTGTATTACCTTTTCAAGTTTACATTAATTAGAAAAAAAACAAATTATAATCGAAAATTGCATATGCCTATAAATAGTTCAATATGATGCACAATTTTTTTTTAATGTTATGGTGTATAGAAACACAAGCTGACACAAACATTTAGTGAAAATTGCATGTGTCTACAGTAATTTTGTTTAGAGTTAAGTACACTAAAAACCTAAATTGATTTTTTCGAAAACTGTTTTTTTGTCAAAATTCCAGTTTTTTCTTAATGTTTTGTTTGTTTTTCCAATCACTTTGAAAACTATAAGGAATTTGAAATTTTGACATTTAAATGCACTAAAAAGATTCACTTTACTACTAAAGAAGTTGCTGTTGAAGAAAATAGAAGTAGGTACTTTGACTGCTCCAAACCGTGATGACGGACACAAAAATAAAAAATAAAAAAACACACGTCATTGTAAAATCAATACATTCATCACTCCGCTCACAATATAAAATTAATTCAACTTTCTAATTATTTAGTTATATAAAACATACTTAAACATACTAAACAATAGAATACTGGAATATCCCCAATTTACAATGTTGACATATAAGTTAAGAGGATGTTACCCACGCATTTGTTGTCTCCGCTTTACCAACTTACCACATTGCAAATGTTCATTCCCTATTTTGAATAGTGTGATGTTAGTTTTGATATTAGAGTGAATTAAAGTATTTTATCAAAGTTTTAGAAAAGAACATTATCTATGCTTAGAGTCGGCGGATTTTCGATATTTCCTTTTTCAATCAAGATACGAGTATGTAAAATAACAAAAATCAAAAATGCTCATATTTCGCTTGAAAATTAATATATCCAAAAATCCGTAGTGATAATAGAAAATGTTCTTATCTAAAACTTTGATAATGGGTCAATTCACTCTAATATCAAGACTTACAGCACACTATTGAAAATATTGAACGAAAATGTTATATGTCGTACGTGTGTAAGACAACAAAGGTTTGGGAAGCGTTTTCTTAACACCAAATTATAAATTTTTATTTAAGCTATTTTATTATCTCTATAAATAAAGGAAAGTGTACATTACCAATAATCAACGCAGAGCCGAATCTATTTGAGTTATCGACTTGAAATTTCGAAGATACATTTTTGTAATAATTTCATCGGGCACTAGGAAAGGATTTTCAAAATTTTGATTTTAAAGGGTTGATATCGTCAAAAATAAATTATTTAGGTACAAATTGTATATCTATACACATATTTCACAGCACGGCGACCAGTGTGTTTCCATAGCGACATGTAACCATAACTTTAAAAAAAAAAAAAATAAAGAACAAAACACTTTTTTTTGGATAAATAAGTCCCTATTTTCCTTAGTCGAGGCATCACGCTTATCGCTTATCATTTAAAACAGATCCATCTATCTTCTATCTCTAATATAAAACAGTTAATTTATAATTTCTTAGTGCTCATTTCACAGTGGAATCAATTGGAAGGTTAATGAAAAATTGTAAAGTGAGTTTTTTGTAAGTGTTTGTTCACATAGTTAGTTTAAGCAATCACGCTTAAAATTGTAAATAAACTTAAGTCGCCCGTGGATGTGCGTGCCATACAATATGTGTATAGGTATACAATTTGCACGTTTATTTTAATTAATAACTAATTATACACGCAACTTTCTTAATTTTCAAATGAACTTGGTATTTTCTAAAATTGTTTGATCGGGTTTAAGAATTGCATCAAATCGAATTTTAGTACATTGCCTACCAAGGTCAAAGGTGGCTGTAGGCTGAGTTACACTTATAGCCGCTCATCGGCATGTAGGTACACAATCAAAATAATTAATAAAATTAAAATCAAACATATTATTCATAAAGAGTGTATTATAATTATAACTATAGAACCATTTTTCAATAACAATATGTGTATAGAATTATTACAATCATTTGTAAATATTATTATTATTATTATTTGAAAGAATTTTTCAAAATTAGACCTCTAAGGGCGTAAAAGAGGGGTTTTATACAGCTATATAATACACGGGCAACGCCGTGACGGGGCAGCTAGTATTATATTATATATAGCTTTTAATATTTTAATGAATGAAATTCACAATTTCATACTAGGTACTTACATATTACTAGTATAAAAATTTTTTGTCTTTCCGTTGTATGTGTTTATTGTATTTAAAATTATAATTCCAGTTTTAATTAGTTCTGTTGTTTCCTGAGTAACACGTCTGTGCTAAATTTGGTTGAGGTGTCATTATGTAAAATAAGAACAGTAGTTGACAGTTTGACACTAATATTTTAGTTAAGTCACCGTAAATAATAAAAGTATGTATACTGACGTACACTCTATTTTTTTACAAACGCTTATAATACTTACTTTAATACCATAATATTATATTGTGAATAAATGATCCTCTAATTTGATGTTTGATTTAATGTTGTGGTTTTGAATAATCCATGTTGCATAGTAAGTAACAAGCTTTCAATTGAACGCTTTTTTTCTTATAAATATTATAGTAGCACATAGTGATGGTCCTGACTGACTAATAACTAATTAATTGATGGTTAAAGGAAGCTAACCAAACAAATTATTTAAATTAACAAAAAATGACTTGTTCGACTACCGACTGCAGAATTATTCGGTTGACTATTTTTCAAAAAATAATCTGGAAAATGAAAATAGGTAAGCTATTATATTTTTATTATTAAAAAAACTTAATTTCCCGTTAAATAAAAATCACCATTTTCTTTTATAAATTGTGTACCTAAAATCCTTTTTGAAAATTATAATGTATCTGAATTAAAATTTGAGTAAGGAGTTTCTAAATTTATGTACTAAGAATATTATGCCCAAGATATTGGTTTGGAACAATTGGGGGCTATAATTATATGATAATTAGAGTAATTAATATTAATCTATTAAAATTGTTTTGTACATTACATAAATTATATGCTTTTGTACAGCCATATTAATTAAGGAATAACATTCGTAATATATTATACATTTCAATAACTCAGGAACTACTATTTTGAGTTTTAATTTAAAGACAATTTGTAAATTTACAAAAATAATAGGAATTTCAATAATCTAAAAACATTCTTTTTGTTATTTTTTTTTTAGTCCTACCCCTCAAATTTTAACAACTCTGTAACAATAATGTATACTGTATGTAAAATGGTTAATTACTGTTCCTTTGACTGCCGAGTAAGAATATTTGAATATATTAAAAAATATAATAACTTAAGGTAGGCAGTGTTAGGACTTATCTAGATAAATTATCCAGATAATTATTATTTTATCTTTTATCTTATCTAGATAAATAAATATAAGTTATCTATGTATTTATTTTAGATAAATATTTAACTTATCTAGATAAATTTAAAAGATACATTTTTTGGTGAAAACTAGATAGATCTATACCAAAATGTTTCATTTTTATTCTTATTATCTCAGGCACTATTTGTACGTAAAATAACATCCAGTGCTCTACAAAATTTAATATAAGTATGACGTTTTTCTGAAAATACTATAAATTATTCCTATTTAGTACTTATTACTTATTAATTGTTACTAAGCACACTACATGCGTTCGACCAACATTTAAAAATATAATGTAATAATAAATAAATGTGTGTGTGTACTGTGTAGGTAGTGTGTAAAATACGTAGAATTTTATTAGATAAGATAGCGGTGGTCGGCGGACCCGTTTGAACGCCGCGCGCCACTCGCCATGACGTGCCGTTTAACCAAAATGTATCTTTTAAGATTTTTAATATTAAAAAAACTAAACATCGTAGTGCAATTCTAATACTTGCATCATCTTAAACACATAAAACCACATAATTAAACATAAATAAAATTTCAAAATAAAATATTAAGGTTGATAAATCGTTGTGTGAAGCGAGGAACTTTTACACGTATTACGTATAAGATAGGCAATTGTGATGACTACGGTCCAATGACGTCACGGGGCTATTCTACATTTCTTAATATCTCTTAAAGTAATAATTTTTTTTACATCATATTTGCACAAAATCGTTTCATAAAACTATAGCTACAATAATTTAACAATTAAAAAAAATTTAAAGAAATATAAATATTTAAAGAATTTTTTTTTGTGTTGTGTGCTCCTTTAATGACAATTGATAAGTCTGTCGAGCAATACGTGAGATGCTATTTATATAATATAATATAAATCTATGGACTATCTCTCTATGGACTAATCCAATTTTAATTGCAAATGGCGTATAATAATAATAAACATTATTTCGTATACATAAATACACAATACTCGTAAATATCTTTTCAATGTTTAATAATAGTACGTGATACGAAAAATTGCCGGTTACCCCCGCCACCCGCCTGGTTAAAACGGCCGTTAGCCATAGGTTCTCTTGTGTGTGTATTATTTTAGGATATATTCTTGAGAATATTATTTTTAAAGTAAATAATTTTCCCCACTCGTTATCTTATTGCATTTATTATTTCTTCAAATCAATGAACGTGATGTCGTGATAATTACGGTCTACGAAAAATTACACAATATTGTCATTTGTCTTAGTCTTTACTCTTTAGTTGAACGAGTACGTTAGTCGGTGAATATATTCATATATTATTTACATTAATACATTATTAATTTTATAATAAAAATGGATAAGTTTTTGGTACATCCAACCGCCAGTTCGAGTAAACGGAAATTAATCCAGTCTGATTGTGAACCCGATGATTCCGATGATCAAAATATAATTAAGATTAACACAGAAGAACCAATTGAAAACAACAATACATGTTACCTTTTTGATGGGAAACATTTTAAAATTATAAAAAGTAATAACGATACAGATAAAAAAATGTCTGCACAATGTCAATTATGTCAAAAAATAATTCAAGGGCAAAAAGGTTCCACAGGAAATTTTCATAGTCACATTAAGGTATGTATCTTTTTATTATTAATTTAGTTTATAGATTTAATAATTTTTTTTTTTATACTGTTGATTGGTACTTGTTTAATTGAATATGATGTAATAAGCCCTGTTCACACGATCAAATAATTTGTCAAATTTGACAAACATTATATTTATACGTACCTATTGAATAATATGTATTATTAATAATTTGTAATTTGTATATTGTAATATCATTGATTATAGAATATAAAAAAATATATATTTAAAAATGTATTTTGTATTTCTATGGTAAGTCAATGGTAGGTCAATGATAGCTAATAATATTATGTGAATCTAAAGTTTTCATTAATATCATATAAAGTCATTGCTTATATTTTTATAATGAAATCAATTATTTTCAGTTTAAACATGCATCAATGCTATCCAAAGTTAGAGACAGTAAAAAATTATTCAAAAAGACAACTGAACATGCTAAAGGAACAATTACTCCCAATAAACAAATGCAACTGCCATTCTTTAAAACCAGTATTACTAAATGTCAAGTAAGTTACATAAGCCTATATTTTTTTTTTATTATTCTTATTTACAGACTACAAGCTTATAATCTATATTATGTCTATTAGTATTGTTAATATTATGAATTTATTAAGATTTTTTTTACAATTTGGATGCTATAATATTATATTAGTATAATACTTGAGCAATCAATGCATATTTAGGAAATATAACTTATTCATTCCTTTGTTACATTTTTAACTCCTCTATAGAAAATATTCTTACAAAGTTATTAATTATTTTGATTTCTTTTCTTAATTCATATTATTCTTTTAGTTCAATTATTATATTTTGGTTATTATTTTTAATCTTGCCATTTTTATTTTATTAAACCTTAAGTATTTTGTTTTTCAGATTACTGAGTTAGTGTTTAATTACATAGTTGAAGAAATGAGACCTATTGTTACGTGTGAAAAACCGTCATTTCGTCGTCTCATTCAAGGACTAACTGGCATAACTGATTCAACTGTACTTCCTAACCATAAGAATATATCAAAAATATTACAACTTAAGTATGACAATTATGTATCCATGTTGACTAATTTAATTGAAAAACAGAAATACATCTGTTGTACAGCGGATATATGGAGTGCCAATAATAAAAGCTTTATGGGAATGACATGTCATTTTATTGATGAATTTTCATATAAACGGTCTTCATATGTCTTAAGTTGTAAGAGAATAAAAGGTAGCCATAATTATTTGAATATTAATGATGTAATAACTGACATTTGTGATGCTTATCAAATTAAGAGTTCTAAAATCACCCATATTATAACCGATAATGCTAGTAACTTTGGCAAAGCATTCCGTACATTTTCTAAAATCTCAACAACTGAATCCCATCCTCATTATGTAGGTAACTTAGGTGAATTAGACATTGACACTGATGAAGAAACACAAATTGATAGTGATAATGAAAATAATCTGTCCAGTCCTATAGATATTGAATATGTTGATATTGGTCAGTTGCTTTATGATTCAAATAGTTCTGATTGTACTAATTTTAGTTTGCCTGATCACCTGACCTGTTGTGACCATACTTTAAATTTAATAGCCACTACTGATGTAGCAAAAATAACCGATAAAAACTATATAAATATTTCAAAACAAGTGTTTAGTAAATTAAATTCTTTTTGGAATCTATTAAGTAGAAGTACTGGGGCATCAGACAAAGTTGTTGATATTTGCAAAGTTAAATTTCCTGTGCCAATAATGACTAGATGGAACTCCACATTTGATGCGATTCAAAAAGTATTATTGTTTAGAGAAAAGCTTACTTTTGTATTTTTAGAATTAAAATTAGCTAAATTAAAGAATACAGAATGGGTATTTTTGGAAGAGTATTGTAAAATAATGCAACCATTAACAATTGCTCTTGATAAATTACAAGGAGAAAAACGTAATTATTTAGGCTTTGTTGCACCAACCATTATTATTTTGAGACGTTTATTAATTGATTTATCATTGTTAAAATATTGTAATCCTTTAAAATATTGCGTTATTGCTAGTCTTGAAAAAAGGTTCAGTTATTTGTTCGACTTGAGTTCTCCAAAAAGTAAAAGTTTTATTATATCATCTATGAGCCATCCATTATTTAAATGTAGTTGGATTCCACTAAGGTACATAGATTTGTGTAAAGAACTTTTCATAAACGAATGCAAATTAACAACTTCTGATTCTGATTTATATGAAAATCCTATTTCTGATAACAGTGATGATAGTGATACTGAATTTTATGGGAATGTTTTTTCATCACAAAATAGTTCTTCAATTAATGGTGAACTATCCACCAACGCAGATTTGGCCCTTAGAAATTCTAACTTGTCTAGTGTTGAAGCCTTATCTTTTTTGAATTCAAAAGTTAAAGAGCTAAATATATTAGACTCATTCCCAGTAGTTAAACAAGTCTTTATGAAATTCAATACATCTATTCCCTCTTCAGCACCAGTTGAAAGACTTTTTAGTGGGGCTATCCAAATCTTAACTCCTAGACGTAATCGTCTTAATGATAAACATTTTGATATGCTTCTGTGTTGTAGATGTTATTTGCAACAAAATAGTCTTACTTAATATTACTTTCTAAACCATTTTTATATTGTATCTAATATTTATAATAGGTATAATTAATATTTATTATTATGCTTATAATATACCGTTATATTGTTACTTGTATTTTATTTTATTTTTAATTCATATTAATTGTTAAATTATAAAACTTGATTTGAAGTATATTTTGTTTTTATTATTTAGATTTAGAACATATTTAACAAATTTTATATTGTACCTTTAATAAATATTATTAACTAGGTACCTTTTAATTATTATGTTTTGCATAGTAATTTCTTGAATTTTTTTTTTTTGTATAATCTACCTAATTTATTTACATTAAAAAAAAGTTGTATTATTTCATTTGAAGTATATTTTTTTGTTTCTATGATATTTAATTTTTTCAATAATGTTTATATTTTATTTTAACTTGTAATAAATATTATTTCTAAAAATATTATTAACTAAATGAATTTTGTTTTTGGTCCACTCGACAACTACTTTACAGCAGGGTAACTTCCCAAATTTTTATTTATAATTTTTTATTCCCTAAAGTCCCTTGGACCTTATTGTTTCCTTATATTATTATATATGTTGAAGTTAATGTTTGGTGAATGGTGGTACACAACATGATATATTAAGTTAAGTCGAGAATAAACATATTATATAGGCATGTACTTACATGACGGTAAGTAATTATGTTTTTTTAAATTTAAATTTCTATAATTATCTGTTATTTATCTGAATAAAATATTTTTATCTTTTATCTTTTTGGTAGATGAATTTAATTTGTTTATCTTTTATCTGTATCTTAGATAAAATTTAGTGTTGTTATCTTTATCTTTATCCAGATGATTTTTTTGTTATCTGTTCCTAACACTGAAGGTAGGTACCTAGATTTTTTTCTTCTTTCAGCAACGTAACTTTTATTTTAAGCATATAAATGTCTGTGAAGAACTGCTAAACAAAATGCATTGACTTCGCGATTCGAAGCTGACTAGTCGACTATGCCAATGAGTTATACCAGAGGTGGGTAACTGGTGGCCCACAAGCCTTTTTTATCTGGCCCGAGCTACATTTTCAAATCACATCATGCAATTTTAAAGTTTATCGTCTAAACTCTAACATCAATTAAAATGTATATTTTGAATAATCCATTTTTTTGCTGTCTAGCTCTGGCCCTCTTGATTTTAATTTTCTAATAATTGGCTCTCTAGTAACTTTTAGTTGCCCATCACTGATTTATACTATCGTACTCTACGTTCCCATGTTCTGTTTACCTAATAAAATTCACACGTACATGTTCCCAGCCCCCCCCCTCAAACCAATCAAAATATTTGAAATTTAAAATTTTTTCTTCGTCAATTTTTAGCATGTATTTGCACAGTTGGTCCCAGTATTTAATTCTACATAATATATTTGTCTAAAGGAACGATGGCAGTATTTCATAGAGGCAGTAACCACCAACAAATTTTCCAGTGAGCAATCTATTTTCATAAAATTTTTCAAGCAAACAATTCGTATTATATTTTTGAATGTTCTATCATTCTTCTATCAATCTGATAATATAATCCAAAAACGGCCAAATTGGGCAACTTTTAATTATTCTATAAATATTCTATCAATTGTTTATATCTATTATTCATAGTATATTACTAATATAATATTAAAAGTATATTCAACATTTAATTTCCATAGAATCTTTATTATTATTATTATCTATAATCATATCTACATCTATAATATTATATAAAATTGCAAGAGGTTTTCTACGACCGCACTAACCGAGAAAACTACTTATTGGATGGTCGTGCAGTTTTTTTAAATTAAAGAGAATCACAGAAAAGGTTTTAGGCAGAAATGTAATCCAATAAAGTTAATAAATAATTAGTTATTATTAAATAAAATAAAGGTGTAAATTGTATATCTATACCTTTTTAGTAAGAAATAGTCGCTGGCTGAAAATAAATAACAATCAAACTCGACAACCACAGATGCTTCTAGGCAGGTCGGCATCGACGTGGAATAATAATCAACTATCATATAATTTAGTTTAGCAAAAAACAAAAAAACAATTAATTTTATCTAAATATGTATTATTAGTATCAATTACATTAATCAATGGTGTTACATTAATTATTGGTAAAAAATAACCAATAACTAATCGAATTTTCACAAATTGCTTGTCAAATTAAGATGATTGAGTTGCCCGTATATCCACTCATCGGCGTATCCACAGTCAAAATAAAAAATATTATTCATATAGAGTATATTTTACCTAGCGTGGGGTACGATAATAATATTATAATATAATATAATATAATATCCTACCATGTACTAGGTACCTATAATTTACTTTTATGAATTTCTGGGTTTAAATAATTTGAAAATATTCTCGATCGTTACGTATTTTGTCAAAACACGAACTACGGACGCTCATAAAAATGTAATGTGAATTTAAGTTTAAATTTTATTTTTTGAATGTCGACTAACAACTTATGAAAAATCTTGTGTTACATGTTAGGTTTTTGATCCGAACGAAGGATTTTCAGTCTACATTCATTACCAAAAAAAAAACTTACAAAAATCGATTATTTCATATGCCTATATTATGATTATAATCATTCATAGTTCTAATTGTACGCGTCATGTTGTCTACTAGATATCAAGAAACGAATGAAATATCTGTATTAGAGATGTAGAAAAATATATTTTTCGACAAGTTTTTGGTAAAAAAGCGGCCCAGTATTCCATTTTGTACTTCAGACTCACAATTGAAAAAAAAAACAATGTCGATGTTTCAAACAAATAAATAGGAAAACGTAAAATCGCTTTATCGATGTAAATACACTCAAGTACCTAAATTTATTTATATTTGAAATCAAACAATTTTATAGAAACCAGTACTGTGTATAAATTCTTGTTAATCGGTACGTTTTCTTATTGGTTTCTCGATTAATTTTTTTTCATGACCCCTTACATTTTAACATTTTAACTTCCCATCAATCGGGTTTCATTAACACGCACATACAGAGTTACTAAAAAGATACGTTTTCAAAATTGAAAAAATATACTCTCGAAATTGAAGGCCGAAGAATAGTTTTGGTTGTCAACATGACATGTCCGTTACATAAATATGAATTCAGAAAGTACGAAATCGATAATTATAGTTAGGTATATACATCCTCTACATAGGCGCACATAGGATGTGAATTTAGGGGGTGCTGGAATAATTTATGGTACACAGACCCGTGGGGGGCTTTGCCCCCCACACCCCCCTAAAAAATAATAACAAGATTTAATTTCCTGTTTGATAACGCAAATTTTTGAAATATAATTTCCCCATCTATTTTATTGGTAAGATCTCTCTCAATGCTAAGCGTAGATAGCTTAGTAAATCTTTCTTGGCCCATACTAGTGCGTAACCAGTTTTTCAATCTACGCATAGCCGAGAAGGAGCGTTCACACGTTGAAGAAGAAATTGGAATTGTCATTTTCACTTGAACTAGTTTATAGACATTTGGAAACGAACTTTTATGACATTGATTTTTAAAGTCTTCAAATACAAAGTTGGCTGGTACACTATTCTTTAAGACCAACATTTCGGCTGATAAGCTAGTTGTTGATATTTTCAAAATATCCTGATATACTAATAATATTTTGAAAGATATGACCATGTAATAAATATTTTAAATAGTTAGTTATTTTTTATCAAATATACCTTATAAGTGTTTATAAAACACACACTTTTATGTTCATCCTAGTTAAAAAAGTTGTCCACAGATTCGGCCAGCTCTAAACTTTCTTCCAAAAAACGTTTTTCTAAATTTATAATTATTGCATCGACTGTCTAGCCAACCGTGAACAGTAGATAATAATAAGAATATAAAGTAAGATTAGATAAATGTTAATATAATTTCCTATAATATTATGTTTGCTGTTTATTGTTTAATGTTTAGACGAAAATACGGGCAATCATACAATACTGTGAATTCGTGAACTATAATAATATTGTCTATTTAAATAGATAATAATAATGATAATGGAAAAAAAAATGTCCAACTCAATAAACCATAATAATTTACAAATTATTGGTGGATTACTGAAATAAATTTTACAGGAAACTTTGGGTGCTAATTTTAAACCTGGGGGTGCTACGCACCCCCAAGCACCCCCCTATGTGCGTCTATGATCCTCTACTAGAATATAATGCCACATTCTATTAATTATAATATTTAATAAGCACATCTATAAAATTGCTATCATTATAATTGTAATGAATTCCACGATAAAATACATATTTTGTTGTCGGCTGTCTGGACATCTGCGAGCTGAATTAAAGTTCAGCGTTTGAGCGTCGTAGCATATTTTGCATCACGACGATGGTTATTATCAATTGGGTTATTATAATAATTAGACGCGAACTAATCAAAATCGAAACAATAGCAGAGATCGCGCGCGTGCTACCTATGTGGGTACATAGTACTGTACGATTCGCGGCTCTCTCGACGTCGCTTGACAGTTAGCACTGCGCATGTCAAAGTATCACAACTTGTCGGCTCTTTCATGTGGTAAGTAATAAACGATTGTGCTCTCAGTTGTTTTCTTTTGTGTTATGTCGTATGGTTCACGAAAATTGTTAACAATTTTTCTATGTGTGTATCAATTAACATTTCGTACGTAACACCGCAATTGTTGCTATCAACATGGCTGGTCGCGACGATTTTAAAGCTGTGCCGTCGGGTATCAGTAAAGCACACCAAGGACGACAAGAGCAGAGCTGCCGACGAGGACAAGGCCAGCGGCCAAGGAAACACCTCCGGACAGACCGACAAATCGAAGAAACCCGTTCAGGGTGCAGTACTCGACATGTTCAAAGTTGAGAAACACAAGAGTGTCAATGTCTATCTACCACCCGGTCTGTGGAAAAAGTGACAAGATCCAAACAACGCAACGTTGCCAGCAACCACTAGGTTAGGGATGACGGTTTTTTCGGTATACCGTCAATATCGGTATACCGGTTAATCGATGTACAGGTTTTTACTCAAATACCGCCGCAATGGTATACCGTGATACCGGTTCTTACCGGGAAACCGTAATACCGTAGTACCGTTTGTTGACGGTTTTAAAGTATACTGGTTATTGGATATTATTGCTGAATAGTTTTCAGTCTTATCAGTTATGCCGGTTATTCTATGGTTAAGTTATACACTATAAATTATTATGCCTCCATGCAATGGTATTAATTAAAATAGATTCTATTTTTGTAACGTTATTGTTTACCAATGTAAATGCGTAATGCATTGTTCATCGAATCATAACTGTTGTAAGAGTGACTTTGATAACAGATAAATTAATAATAACGTACACTAAACGACTGAACACATGGAGTCATCGACATCGTATTTATAACTAAAAACTAAATAATAGTTAATCGCATTTATTATATAAGAAGAAAAGTAAAACATTAACTATTTAGTTATATTTCAAAGTATGTTGCAGGCTGTTAAATTGTTTATAAAGGGGGGGAGGTACTACTTCATCTATCTTGTCTTATTACAAAAAAAAGAACCTTATTATTTCCATCGCCTTATAAGTTATAATATGATTTAAAAAAAAAAATTAAAACTTTAATGTCTCGCTGTAAAGTGTAAATTAAAAAAAGACATCCCCTACCACTGTGTTATTATTTTTTTTAAATAAGGTAGTTTCTTTTCCATACCCGGCATACCATCTATATAATAAAATAATAAATATAATATAACATATTCATATATTGTAATATAATGGTTTTTAAAAATTATTTACTTCCTTAGCATATTATTTCAGTGTTTTTCGGTATTACGGTTTTCNTATAGTAACATATATAGAATGAATAAAGTTATTCGTAAGAAGTTGAAAATGCACTGATAACGTTCTTAACTACAATTTCAAGAATGGTATTTTATTCATTCTAATATATTAAAATCCAAATACAAAAGTTTGGGTGTTTTCTTGTTCTTAAAAAATAGTCATGTTAACATAAGTAAGATGGAGACAAAACATGTGGTTGTGACTTCCCATTAATCAATTAAATTAATCTAATATTTTATAATAAATATTTTTAAAGCTTAACTGTCTTATTATTTATATTATTATGCTATTACCTATAGAGAAAATATGCTATTTCATTAGCAATGTCTACAATGCTCGGTTCATGCAACATCAATTGGATTACAAGTAGAATGTGCCGGATGCTGTAGATTGGATCCCAATGATTGTTGATATTCAACAATGATGATCGCACAGTACCTAGTGAATCATGTATCACCAACATTGATATATTTAAGTTTAAAACAATATTACGGGGTATTGTGTTTTGTCGTATTTACGACACTACCATGTCAGCGCGCAATCGGGATTGAATTTCGGAATTATTGAAATTTTCTAAAAATTCCAACCAAAACTCTTAGGATAGGTCTAGTACCTTGTACCTGCCGTTCCTTTTAATTATGGTTCGACCACCCTGCACCAACCCGCGGGATGTATACGTGCTTGCTCAAGTATCGATTCGGTATTTTCTACAAACCTGACGGGATCTTCAGCTCTTGTACTGGAGAACTCGGGTAATGAGGACGTTGCTGAGCGTAAGTTATCGTATAGAATTAGTACCATGGTGAGTAATACGACACGTTCGCTGTGTTTTTCGGACGGTCGGTCATTCATGGTGGCAATGTGGCTGGTGCTCGGCATGCAGCCAACCTGCACCTAGAAAATACTGATGGCTAAGGTGGAGCGGTAGAACGAAGCCACGGAGGTGTCGCTTGTGAACTCGGCCGCATATACGAATTCTGGGGTTTGTTTTGGTACCTGTGTTGAACTTTGTACATCCACTTTTCGATTATAAATTCCCACCAAATTTAGTTTCACAAAAATGTACAAAGATAGTTCAATCTAAAAGATAAGAGACTCTATTTTGTCATGGTTACAATAGTCTTACATTATAATACAGTAGTGTTATGGATAATTTATAGTAGGAATCTACAATTAATTGAAATACACATCGACATTGTATAAAAACTATATATTTATTTTGTATATAAGAAGTTGAAAGTTGAATAAAAACATTAAAATGTATATAATATAAGGGAATATAGGTACCTATAGAAAATATGTATGCATAGTATTATAGTATATATTTACTTTATTTTTACATTCATAATATGCCTTTCTTAGTTCAGAGTATAAGTGTATAGTATAACAAATTTTTACTTGTGCATAATTAGTAGGTATTAATTGCATAGATACATACCTAAAATATGAATAGTTTAACTACTTGATTATAACATGTACTTTTTTAATTATTTTGTTTTGTAATATAAATGTACTTGTATGTTCTATTTTATTATGTAGGTACATTAATATTAATATATTAATATATTTGTTTTGCTACAATGTGAGATATGAATAATTGTATTATTTTTATTTTTTGTAGCTTCAACTCCTAATGGTATGGTACTTTATTTGGTCACTACCTACCAATTTCATGTATAACATTTTATGGACTTCATGCCATAGGCAATTTTAAATGAATTGATAATTGAATAAATTATTTTTTATATAAACAAGTTATAACAAAAAAATAAAGTATAGTATAGTATAGTATAGTATCAAAATAACTACCTCTAATATTACATATAGTTATCATACTAAGTATGAACAATTTGGTAAGTCAGCAACTATTGTCATTAGAATTTTGATTTAGATACAATTTAGGGTGGCAATTCGTCCCGGATTTCTCGTGACTTTACCGGTTTAGGAATCCATGTCCCGGCGCCAAGGTTCTCGGGACACCGATTTGTACCTGTTTAGGACGACTTTTTTATAGTAATGTCCCAGTAATTAAAATCGTTTTATAATTTTATTCTTTTACATATTAACCGATTTCATTTTTAACAAATCCTAATGACCTAATCTTAAATTATTTCGAGAACGATCATCGGAATGTACGACAATCACAGTTATAATCACTTTCTAAATTTAACAAACCTACTGTCTTTAACCACATTAATTTTCAATCTTGAATTTCGAGTACTATGATACCGAAAAATAATATTATTAATATGTTTTTAACAGAATGGATGGTTTATAGCTTATAAATAATTTAACAGTAATTTGCTGAAGGTACAAGTCGTATGCTAGTGCGAAATACTTTATAGTGTCGTAATTTTATACAGTTCATTATTTTACGTATTGACTATGCCGCCTAAAAGAGTTTTTCATTTTAACGAAAAATTGCAAAATGATTTCATTTGTAGAAAAAAGGGGGTGGGGTTCTCATTTAAAAAATCAAAGTTTGTATCACCACAGGACACTCCTAAAGTCAGTGGTTCTCAACCTTTTTTGGTTCACGGCACACTATTATACATCACAAGATTCATCACTCATGCACTTGACAACCACAACATCTTTGGTAACTTCGCAGAAGACATTAGTTATCGCCACACGCCTAAATATGTATGACATTTCTCCCTGCACATCTAGTAGATCTCGCGGCACAGTAGTGTGCCGTGGCACACAGGTTGAGAACCACTGCCTTAAGTAGTACAAAAAATATCAGGAATTTGAAAATATTGTCTTTATAGTTGTGCTTCAAGATTCAAAAAATCAGAATTTGAATTAATGAACTATTAAATAGAAAAAATGAGGATGAGCATGCTAAGCATTAAATAACTAGGTATCAACTTGATATTTCAAATAACCTAAAGCACGTGCAATTGGTTTTGAAAACATTACATTCATCTAAATATTCTATACCAACATCTTTAAAAACATAACTAATATTTAAATGTTGGAAAACATTAAAACAATACTTAGTTTTGCTTTATAAATAAGTCAACAAAAAGTATTTAAATACATAATACAAGATACTGCCTAGCCCAGGCATGCTTACAAAATCACCTTGTATAATATAACTAATAACTAAAATCGATTTATTCTCAAAATATTTATAACTCAATAATACCTAATTAAGTTAATACAAATTATAATTCAGCAGTAATGATACTTAAAAAGTAATTTTTATTTATTAGTATATTAATGCCAAACGGCTATATAAAAAACACAATAGTTAAGATAATTACTTATAACATAAATAGTGAAACTATGACAAATACAGTAAAATAATGTTATATTTTAATGTAGAAAAAGTGAGAAGAAAATTGAATGTTTAATATCGTATATGATACATTTCGATATTAGTATATTACTTACTGCTTAACAGAAGTAAAGTACATATTGGCAATTGTTACTTTTGTATAAGGTAATTAAATAAATTTATCATCTTGTCTCCTTCAACTATACATATTCTAACATCAGTCTTCTGACATTCTCCTGGCTTGCCATTGGACGAGTCTATAATAGTCAGTCCGATCTGGTACACTAAAAAAATAACATAATTATAAAAATAATGATGTTGAACGCTTATTTTTAAATATATACACATTTGAAGTAAATTGTAAGTTATTTTGTACCTTATGATTGCACCTTAACATTATTTGGCCAGTGTTCAGCATAGTTAAATAGGTAACTAAAAACATTGATTCAAACGCTGTTTGGAATAATTATGATAATATGAGCAGTTTCTATTTATTAAAATTTGTAATTATTATAATATGTAGTTGACTAATACTAAGTTGGTTTAGGTGATATCTCAGCCTTAATATAAACGTCATCAAAATATTTTTCAAATAAGTTTATTATTTTTCAACCATAACTAGCACCATACCATCTAAAATCATGTTTTGATGCAATAACTTATTGGGTCCAGAAAAATTTACTAATATTCATCGAGTTTGGAAAATTTTCTAAATATTTGTCAGACATAATTTACCATTGATTTTTACACTGTTTGCACTGTACACTGTTCGTTTTAAGATAGCAGGCTTGTCAGTTATGGAAGAAATAAGTAACGGCGAGATGGAAACGATCAAGAGGAAATATATGGGAATATTGTAGTATATATCAATATAATGTATATGTTACGGCAAAATCATGAATACCAGTAAAACCTTGGTGCCACCAACTGCTGTAGGTAAATGCCAGAATTTTGGAAACCGAATTTGTTTACCAATTGTTTTCGTCCCCCTATAGTATAATTTATTTTTATTACAACAATAAAATTATTTGGTTTTTATAGGATTGGATACTAACATTTTTGTTATACGTCAAATTAAATGGTTATTAAATATATTAGGTACTGCGTTAATGTGAAAATCGAAATTCTTTTTAGGTCATTTTAATTATAACAGTTGTATTGTGACATCAAATTTTTGTTATTATTAAATAATACTGCATAAGTTGAAACTATTGAGTAAAGTATAGTGATATTGCACAGCAATCGACTTTTTATAGCCTGGGTACAAAATCAGGGGCACTATCTCAACGGTATCGCAGCTGTCTTTGACTGGTGGACATAGGTTAATAAGGTGTAACTTACTATTTGAAAAAATGTATTACAAATAGATGTAAATATCGATTCAAAAATGTATTTAGCAATTGTACCGACAGCAGTTTGTGAAAACTAGGATTTACCAGTATTCGTACTTTTATAGTAACATATATAGAATGAATAAAGTTATTCGTAAGAAGTTGAAAATGCACTGATAACGTTCTTAACTACAATTTCAAGAATGGTATTTTATTCATTCTAATATATTAAAATCCAAATACAAAAGTTTGGGTGTTTTCTTGTTCTTAAAAAATAGTCATGTTAACATAAGTAAGATGGAGACAAAACATGTGGTTGTGACTTCCCATTAATCAATTAAATTAATCTAATATTTTATAATAAATATTTTTAAAGCTTAACTGTCTTATTATTTATATTATTATGCTATTACCTATAGAGAAAATATGCTATTTCATTAGCAATGTCTACAATGCTCGGTTCATGCAACATCAATTGGATTACAAGTAGAATGTGCCGGATGCTGTAGATTGGATCCCAATGATTGTTGATATTCAACAATGATGATCGCACAGTACCTAGTGAATCATGTATCACCAACATTGATATATTTAAGTTTAAAACAATATTACAGAGAAAAATAATAAAGGTATTAGGGGGGTAATATTATATTTACCACAAGTTCTGCACACATTTGGGTGGAAAATTATTGGAAAAAATCTGCAGATCGGTGGACTAATGGGATAATCATCCGAGAATATCATGAACATGTTGTATCTGCCATTTTCCCAAAACGTCTAATAAAAAACGTAAATACAAAAATTTTAAGTGTATTAATACTTATAAATAGACACATTTGAAGTTATTTATTTTTTTAAACTCTGAGCGGATAATTAATGATTGTACTGTTTTCATAATATGTTTTTTTAAATATTTGTTGTGTCTGTAAACACTTTGATAATACAAAAAAAAATTTTAAAATCTGAAACTTCAAGGTATGTCTCTTGAAGCAAATTGTATTTACTTTATAATTTTAAAACAAGTATTTCATAGTAATTTTCGATGGAAATAAAAAATATCATTCTGGTTGAATATAATTAGGTGTAATTATTGAATTCGCTGTCACAAAATTATTGTAGTAGTTTAGTAAATAAGCTAAAATTAAAGTTAAAATAAAAGTGTGTATAAAAAAAGTATATATAAAAATGAATGTCTGTCGGTCTGTCTATGTGTCTCTTATACCTAAACGGCAGGATTTTTTGAGTGTGTTTGAGTGGTTTCCTGAATGATTTAGATTCACAATCGGAAAAGGTAGGTCCAACTCGGACAGATGCTCAAACATAGATTTTGAAATTTACATTAATAAATGGTTGATATTGGTTATAGGAGATATATAAATATATTTTTAGTATATTTGAGTTTTTTCGTTATTCATACTGGTTTTCATTGATTAATCCAAGATTACATCCAATCGAATTTTCGCACCTTGCCAACCATGTCAGCTGATATGCACTTATAGCCATTGCTCATAAGAGTTTCCGTAATCAAAATTTAAAAATTAAAAATTAAAGTAAAACATATTATTCATATAGCGTGGTCTCCGCCACAGGTGAATTGCCTAGGTACCTGATAATTTACTTATCACAAGCAAGTCTCATATTATAGAGTTGGCATTTTTAAGGGACAAAAAAGTGCACGGGATCAGCTACCATTCATATAAATATAATTAATCCAATTAAATCTTTAATTGGATTAATCATATAAATATGATTAATCCAATTAAATCTTTCATTTCAGAAATATGAAAAAAAAGGTAATTTTATAAACATTTCTATAAAATACTTAATGAATTATTTAACCTATTATATTTAAAAAAAAAATATAAATGAAGAGTACATAAGATAATAATAAAGGGTAAACTAAAATTAACTAAGAAAAATTGTGTCAATGTAAAATTATAAATTAAGAAGCCTCCTCAAATTCAGATTAAAATAAACAAATTATTATTAGTACTTTCAAATATAACAAAAACAAATTGTATGAACTGTATGAATGAAGAAAATATCATGTTTCATTGAAAATTATTTTGAAAAATGTAATTCATATTAAATAGCTACGATATTTCTTCAGAATCTTAACATATCAAATTGGTAAAGGTGTGTAATAAAATAAAATATCGTTAATACTTACATTATTCAACCCAGGTATACGACACTTCCAAACTTTGTAGTTGAGAGAACCATCTTGATTTAAGCATGGTTTAGCAACGAAACCCTTAGATTGAAAAAATAAAAATAAACTATTACTTTATAATTGGTTATAAGTAGATATAGGATCCTAATGACCTAAATAACATACGAAAATTCTCTGTAAAAGGAACAAAATACCAACAAAATAAAAAAAAGAACTTACAAATCTCAAAAGAAGTGAAAAAAAATGTAATTTAAAAATAATAATCATTATTCTTAAAGATATAGATGTGATATAATGACTGTCAGACTTATTAAAAATATACATTGTAAAATGAATTATTTATAGTTAACATTTCAATTTCATGTTTGATTTACAGTAAAAAATGAATAAAGTTATTAAAAATAAATTAAAAAGTAAAATAAAAATAGAAAAAATACATTGACATCAAAAAAACCACAAATCTAAAATTTGAAGAAAATACCACAAATTGTACAAGAGCTGCAAAAGCTGTCCAATAATATGAAAAAATGGTGAAAGAATAAAAAAAAATCGCATTCAAAAACAAAAAAAAAGTAATCATAGCTAAAAATGACTAAAAATTATATAAAATAAAATGCAAAATTCATCAACATTCTACCTCTAGTTATCAATTAAAGGAAGTTTTTTTTTTAATGTACTCACAAATGGATGATTTTTCCTCCAATCTCTACGTTCATCTTTTAACCGATTTAACGCAGTGTCAGTCATTATTCTTTAAATAAATAAAATAACCCATAATATAGTTTTAAAAAATTACTGTAATTTAAATAATAACTTCCTAAAACATGCGTAACTCACAGATTTTTTGGATTAGATGGCCGATCAGTAAATTACACACGATATGTATTTCGTCAGGATTACTAAGTAGACCGCACCACACTAGAAGTCGTTGTAAATCAAAATCGATTAGACGGCGGAGTTGAACCTAAGGTAGATTTCAGTTATAAAAATGTTAGCAGAGATCATATTGTAAAACGAACATCAAAAACAAAAGCGATAACAACGGATATGGAATAGGTACAAACATGAATACTAATACAACCAATGGTTAGAATGGAAATGATTCGATAACACAATGGGTATGACACTGTGTGAATTTGTTGAATCGACGATTGAGGCCTTAAGCACAGTCTCGGGAGGGGGGGCGACCACCTAAGTGCTCCTACCCCCCATGGGTGGTGGTAGAATACTGGTAAACAAGTGCCTAACATTAAGTTGGTGTGCTGGCTCGTTTCCGAATTTTAGACCGTAGGTAAACAAGAACCTGATTAGCTGATCGATTGTAGTTTCTAATTGTTTTGTGATAACACGGAACCCTTTGCCTGGCAACATAGTCAAGCCGCACCCCCAGTGCTGTACAAAGTATGAAGATAAACAAAATAATACGTAGGAATCTGATTGTCCCAGACTATCATATATGATAGATCACAAACCATAACAAAGTATGTACATATTAAATATGACATTCTCCACATCTCATTAGTTATCACGTTGAATGAATATTGGAGAACCTAACACATAGGAATAAGTGGGGATGCTGAAACAAAATTAAAATCCTTATTGTTACTAACATACCTCTATATTTTGTCTTTTCCACAGATAAATAAAAAATTGTTAAAGGCCCCGGCCCAATACTTCTCCCTCGTCAGTTCCCCCTGTCAACGCTATCCGACACGTCGCGCCATCTTCAACGACATGGCATGCTAGACCATACGCTCTCTTATTTCGCAAACCTTTCAGTTTAGTCTGATAAATTCCTAACCTTAGATAATATTATGAAAATAATAATAATTTAATTAATAAATCTGATTTTCGATGGTAGTACCTAGTGCTGGATTAACCTACAAGCAAATTAAGCAGCACTTCTTAAGGCTTTCGAAAAAATTCAGACCTAACCGTAAATTTTATTTTTGTACAGAGAAAATTAAAAATTTGTATACTTGTACACTAAACAAAAATGGTCAGACTACATGCTGATTTCAATTGAAATCACCAAAATTATACAGTATAAACACACATGTATTTGTATAATTATTATAAGAAAATATTTTATACGGCCGTGCACAACTAATAATAGTAATGCTATTAGGAGCTACCTTTTTTTATCATCTTATTTAACAATTATACAGCACATTGATATTGATAATATAGCACAGTACAATTTATTTTAACATGTTTATATTTATGATTCTTTATTGAAGCGACCACATTAACTGTCTAACAATGGCGACTATCACATGAGAACATGTTACGTATTAAAGCTTCTTTAGTTTTTAAAAAGTGTTAGGTTACTCAGTATAGTTGAAAGAAAATAATTTTTCAAAAAGTACTTTGAAAAACTTCAAAACCAGAAGGTGGTTGGTAAAAGCTAAAAGAATTTCAAAAGAAAAAGAAAAAATGAGGCACAACTTCTAGAAAAGGTAAACTCCCTTACAAGTTATTGTATTATTAAAAATACCAATAATAAAACAGATACAATTATAAACTAACCGAACTGACATAATGTGGTAATAGTGTATCAAATTTATTTACTGATGATTGTTTTATAGTAATCCTATAATTTTGGACATTTTAGTCAATTTTAACCCTGGAATTTGGAATTTTAACATCAAACAAATTGAGATCTCTCGTATTAAAAAAAAGGCTAACATTATTTCAAAATAATGATGCTGACTTATCTTAAACTAAAAATGTACATGAACATCCTAAAATAAATTGTTGTTTAATCAATAATGCATTTTTCTGAAGAAAATTTAATGGCAGTTAATGCGATAGAGAATGGTTAGTTTATTCACAGACTAAAAAAAAAATGGAATATTGTTATTATTGTATCTTTTTTCTAATAAAATATAATTTGTGATGGGTTTGATGATTGACGAAATGTTCAAAGAACTCTTGAAATCCATGCGAAAAATGGAGATCGTGTTTTAGCAATTAGAATGTACTTAAATAGAACACTATCCAGAAACATACTGGAAAAATAGATGATGAGCTATATAAGTACAAAGAGAATTAACTGAAAAACGCAATTAATTGAAAAATGTATTAAAGCTCTTAAGCCTAATGAGCTTTTAGCTCAAAATTGGTTATTTGTTATTAATTTGTGAATTTTTTATTTACTTAGATAAAATTCTTCAAATAATTTGTGTTAGTATATAAAATATGTTTATAATTTTATAGTTTACTATGTATAAGAGATTATTTAGTGCAGAAATATAAATGTTATTGTTATTAAGACAGATGCACTTAAAAGTAATCCAAAATATATTAAATACTTGTTTTTATGTTTGGCAAAATTACTATATGAAAATGTGTCTAATCAACTTCAGAAAGACTTTGACTTGAAAATTACTTTATTCAAGGTAAGTATGCATTATATATATATATATATGTTACGGGCAAAGTGGAAAATTCGGGCAATGTATACAATGCCCGGGCATTGTGCACAGTGACCGGGCATTGTATACAATGTCCGAGGTATATTGGGCAATGTAAATTGTGAAGTATTTATACAAATAATCTGCATAATATATTTTGTTAGATGATAATGATAAACTAATATGAATTTATAATCGACATCTGATTGTGCTTGCATGCCGATCAAGTCAATTTGACAGCGAGAATTCATTTCAGAAGATATGATTGGTTTTACAACCAACCCTTTTTTAGCTGTACTTCCCTTCTTTTTACACGATTCGCAATTATTTAAGTATAACATTATTACATCTCTAGTTATATTTTTGTACTTTTTATTAATCTCGTGTTCCATTCTATTTCTACCTCCATGTCCAATTGACAAATGAACTTCATGTATAATATCATATAACTGAACATTATGCACATAATATTTTATTGCATTACCTTTAAATACATTTAAAATTTAATTAATTAAAAAAAAATTCTAATACTCTTATATAAATAATCATATAAACGAGTATAATAATTATTAGTATATAATATCATTGATTAGGTAAAATAATATTATGCAGATTATTTGTATAAGTACTTCACAATTTACATTGCCCAATATACCTCGGACATTGTATACAATGCCCAGTCACTGTGTACAATGCCCGGGCATTGTATACATTGCCCGAATTTTCCACTTTGCCCGTAACATATATATATATATGTTTGGTTATAATGTGTGATTTTTATTAATACAGATGTAATTGCAATATAAGTGAAGTCTTTCTTAATTTTAACCGATCTCTAGGACAGATACTTTATGTGAAGTCATTAAAAGAAAAATATCTTAGAAAAAGCTCCATATTTATATGATTTTTGTAAATTTGCTATAACTCATCAATTTTTTTCCTCCAAGCCTTAAACATTTGTTCGAAAACCTTTTGCTGACGTTCTTTCTCAGCTGACTACTTGGATAAATACTTAATTTTATAACTATAACATTTTGTTTCTTAATTTCGTATGATAGATATTAAAACGCAGAACGCTGTCTACATGTTGGACAAAAAATGAAAGAACCAATAACTTATCGTACACCCAGGATTTGAAAGTCAGTAATAACTAGGGCTAGGACTATGTAGCAAATGCTTCTTTTGAGGGTAGTGTAATAGAAAGATAATTCTTATATATAAATATGTTTTGAATTGTTCTAAACGTAATGAAGCAAATTTTTTTTTGCTTTTCTTTGCTTTTTTCCACAAAACCTGCTTTTCCCCTTTTTGGTTCTTTTTTCTTAATGTTTACATATTTTTCTTGAAAATTTAACTTATTTCTATGTATATTATACATTTATACTTGGACTATATTATTATTACTAGAAATTATAAAACCAGTGATAAAATAACTAATCGTTATTGTACCGAAATTGTATAGTTAAAACTACAATTATCTGAATTATATCTGCAAAATTTTTATAGCACGTTCTAATACTCTAGTTGACCGGTAAATATCAATCGACAATCAGTGTTGTATAGTGTTCTAAATAGTTTATTTTTAACAGTCAAAATGCCAAAAGTTAAAAATGAAAATTTTAAAAAAATCGTTAGAGAATTCAGTGAAAATGTGCTTATAACTGACGGAAATATTAAATTTAGTAAATTGTGACAAAATAAATTCGGATAAAAAATATAACGTTCAACAACATGTCAACATATTGGCAGAGGAAAACACAAAGAAGCATTGAAAAAACTTGAAGCTGCATCACATAATGCAGTTCAGCCATTCATTCAACAATTTTTTAAGTCTGATTTTAATGCTGACCTATGTTCCAGGGTGTAACGGCGTAACAAATGTAATAACTAGCATTTTCGATCATTTCTTTCAAAATATTGCAATAAAATTATTCTCAATTAATCAACTTTACGAAAAGGATACTGTGATTATTCCTACAATAATAAGATATCTAAAATACGTGTTGCTGTGAACGGCCAAGAAATATGAGTTTGCCTAGATGAAACAATTGACAGTGTAAATGCAGCCAATGTCATTATTGGTATTTTTCAACCACAATATGTTGGTAAAACCTATCTAATTCACACAGAATATTTAGACATAGTGAACCATAATACTATTTTTAAATTATTCGACAAATCTATGTATACTTTATGGCCAAATAATGTTTATCATGGGGACGTTTTATTAATTGTTTCGAACGCCAAGCCGTTTATGAAAAAGGCTGGCTGCTGTATTCAAACACTGTATCCAAAAGCCTTGCATGTGGCATGCTTAGCTCATGCACTCCA